ACACCCGCACGGGACCCCCGAGGCTCCGCAGCCCCCCTCCCAGGGCCGTCCATCCTCACCCGGCTTTTCGCAAAGCCCCGAAGGTTCGAGACCTCGGGAGGATCCGTGGGGACCGCGGGCCCGGGCCTGGGGGGTGGGGGGACACACGTACCCGCAGCTCCGAGCCAGAGCAGCAGCCGGGCCGAGCGGCTCATCCCCGGATCCGACGGCCCCGGACGCGCGCAGCCGCCGCCGCCGCCACCCGCAGCCTGTCTGGCCTCGCCTACCGCAGACCCCTCATCGCCCAGGAGGAAAAGGCGGGGCGTGTGGGCAGCAGGTCCCCGCGCTTCCGGGAGGAGCCGTGAGCCCCCACCCCGGGAATCCCATCTCCAGCCGCCAGGAGGTCAGCTGCTGGCCGCCCGGGCGGCCGGGGAGGGACGGAGACTGCCCTGGCCCTATCCTTTGGAGGCAGCTCCAGCATGACGCCCAACCACACCCCAGGCCCTTGGCATGGGCTTCAAGATCTCTCGGGACACCGAAGGAAGCGTGTGCTTACTTGGGGCTGGTGTGTGGTCACACAGGACAAGTGCTCTTTGAACTGCTAGGCTGGGGCAACTTGCAGGGTCCAGGTGCCTGCGAGGGGATCTGCTCAGCACTACGCAAAGTAGGGACCGAGTAACTGCAAAGACAGCGTCTCCCACCACCTGTACATCATGAAGATGTGTAGATCACCACAGACACCCACACCCCTGAGGGAGCGATGGAGTGCAGCCCTGCTCAGGCCTGGCCTTCAAGTGGGCTTTATGTATTGGGTCTTCAATCTCTAGCTTAAAATGGTAACTCTGAGGGCAGAGGCCTTCAAGTGTTCGACAGGAATGCTTTAATACTTAAGCTACTTGGTAAAGTCTGAGTAATACTTACGTGTAGCCACATAGTTGTTTTTTTTTTGGGGGGGAGATATTTCATTTTATCTCTATTTTGTATCGAACTAAGCAGTTAAGTAAGGCAGCCTAACAGTGTGGTTCTGTTTAAAGCTATGTAAAATTACAATCACGGTGATTGAAGTATCAAACCCCCAACAAAGCAAGGTAACATTATGGGATAGGGCATGATTGCATAGAGGGAAAATGTGGGATCAGAGTTCAAACTGACACACATGGAGTTTTGTAGGGCACAGAAGAGTTGTTTGTTCTGCATTGTATAAACAAGAGCAGAAGACCCATAGGAACCCAGGCAAGAGCATCTATAACAGATTTCTCTAGCTGTCCACAGGGAACAGAAATAGCTTCGTCTTCATTGTGAAAAGTGATTGCTCCTATGCTCATATCCTGAACTAAACCAAGGAACAGCTCCACGCTGAAATTCCCTAGCTAAATACATCCAGTCCCATCTTTCCTAACCAGAGTACTACTACATGGAATGTCTCCTAAGATAATAAATTGGATGCCACTTAGCTTTCCTTCAGCAAATACTTAGGAATCTTTTAAGATCCAAAGCAAGTTAACACTGCACTTATTTGTCAGTTGTGGGGCAACGTAGGGGCTGGGTGCTGTCCCTGAGCTCTTTTGCTCAAAGCTAGTACCATATCATTTTAAGCCAAAGCTCCAGTTTTGCTTTTTGGAGTGGTTAAAAAATTGGAGATGAGGGGCTGGGAAGGTGGCTCAGTGGTAGAGCGCTTGCCTTGCATGCCCGATGCCCTGGGTTCGATTCCTCAGCACCAATAAGCAAACAGAAAAAAGCCGGAAGTGGCGCTGTGGCTCAAGTGGTAGAGTGCTAGCCTTGAGCTGAAGAGCTGAGGGACAGCGCCCAGGCCCAGAGTTCAGGCCCCACGACCAGACCCAAAAAAAAAAAAAAAATTGGAGATGAGCCGGGCGCTGGTGGCTCACGCCTGTAATCCTAGCTACTCAGGAGGCTGAGATCCGAGGATCTTGGTTCAAAGCCAGCCCGGGCAGGAGAGACCGTGAGACTCCTATCTCCAATAAACCACCAGAAAACCGGAAGTGGCCTGTAGCTCAAGTGGTAGAGTGCTCACCTTGAGCTGAAGAGCTGAGGGACAGTGCCCAGGCCCAGAGTTCAAGTCCCACGACCAACAAAAAGAAAAAAATTGGAGGAGTCTCATGGGGATTTTTCTGCCTGGGCTGGCTTTGAACTGCAACCCTCAGATCTCAGCCTCCTGAGTAGCTAGGATTACAGGCGTGAGCCATCAGTGCCTGGCTTAACACTGCATTTTTATCAGAGTCTATATAAACAGCTAAATTGTGATGTGCTTTTCACATATTAAATGAGCTTTAAAGCATCTGTTCAGAAAAGAATGCATACCACACAAATTATTCAAGTTATATAAAATCATTTTTCAGGGTCTGATCAACTGAGAAGAATCCTACTTATGTTTCTGAGGTGCGTCATACTGAGTAAGGTTTGCTTCAGCTTTTTATTTCCTTCTACAGTAGCTTAGTATTTTTCTCTCATTTTTGTCAATTCCGGGCAGAGTGGCTCTATATATTAGGATCTCCCTGGGTAGCGGCTCCTGAAGTGATGCTTAAAAAAACAACTCCACAGCACTATTAGGTTTTCTCTACGAAGTCAACAACACTTTGGGTCATGTGACCAGCACCCCAACTTCTCCAATTGCTTGTGTTTCTAGTGAGCACGTGTGTGTGTGTGCGCATGTGTTTGCCAATCTTGGGGCTTGAACTCGGCCTGGGCGCTCTACCTGAGCTTTTTGCTCAAGGCTAGTGCTCTACCACTTGAGCCACAGCACCACTTTTGGCTTTTTCTGTGTATGTGGTACTGAGGAATGGAACCCAGGACTTCATGCATGCAAGGCAAGCACTCTACACTAAGCCACATTCCCAGCCCATAGTGAGCAGTTTTGTGATGGCCATGACAAGGGTAGCCAGGGAGCTGGAACAGAGGCTGGGTCTCACTGTCCAACATGGGACAGCTACTGCCGCAAGCTGAGGCTGCGCTTCATGTCTGATTGAAAATGGCAAGCATGAGGAGACTAGGTGCTAGGCTCTTGTAGATAGCCAGTTCTTTGAGAAGTAGTCTGCTCCCACAGCAGCACTGTTCCTGCCACTCAGGGGCTGTGGCCCACATTCTCACCATCCCCACATGTGAACTGTTTACTCCTTCCCATCATGATCTCCCCAGATCTCTCTCCTCCAGATACCTCTTGGTTCTAACTCAGAATGAATATGACAACAATCAGTCCAGATCAGCCACCAGACTGAAAAAGAATTTATTTCAGTATGCAGCATTCTGGCCTTCAGTGGGAGGTTGGAGGTGCTTAGATTTTCTTGTCCCCAAGAGGGGGTACCTAGCTAAGTCACCTCTCACTCCTAGCACAGACCCGAGGCCCCAGATGCCGAGTTCCAGATCAGGAGAACAGTAAGGCTCGTTCTGTTCCACAGAATCTCCAACAAGGTGCTCTAGGGAAGGCAGGCATGCCGTGCGCTCTTTTGTCCCGCCTTCTCTAGGACTCGATGCTCTTCTCTTTGTCCAAGTGTCCAGTGCGGAGCTTCAGAAAGATGCATCCCTCTTTCCACCTGCAGCAACTGTGCTAGGTCTCTGGTACTCTACTCTGGAGAAGCCCCGAGGTCAGTCTCTCGAGGTGCTGCTGCCTCAGAGGGGGCAGCTGTGAATACAGCTCAAAGCCCTGCGGGAGGCTGGGGCTGGGGAGCTTATAGTGGAGGAGGTGCTGCCGGAGAGCCTGCAGACAGGGAGCAAACTCTGAGTGGGTAGTGAGAGCCGGTTGACATCTGTCCCCCAAACACTCTTATCTCTCTTCTCCTAGTGGTCCCAAACTTACCTCATCTGCCAGCAGAGAAGTTTTCTGCAGCATATTCTTCTGAGCACCCTTCACCTCATCCTAGAAGAACAGGGGGAGGTAGCACCAAGCAGAGGGCTGGTACCTCCCCTCCCCCAGTTTTGCATGGCCCTCCCTCCTTCCAAACCGGCCCAGAGGCTGCTCAGTCACTAGATCCTTCCCCGCTCTGAAGACAGAGATATGACTTACTGAACTCTTTGGGTCCTGAGAGAACATGAAATTATTGACATGAGCCACAGCCACGGTGTAGAGCACGGGGCACCAATGTGATCGGAGGGCACCAGTGACCAGGGCCCGGAAGTAGAGCTGAAGGAGGGCCAGGTTGTCTTCGGGTGGTGCTGTGTAGCACTCCAGGGGCACAGGCAACTGTGGTGAGGGAAATGAGATCCAGTGGGGGGGGGGGCAGGAGTGGGCACTGGCAGATAGGTGGATGGTGTTGGCCACATGAAACTAGAAGTCAGGTCCTGGCTAGACATCCATCCTTCTCTTGCACTTGAGTGTTATGCAGCTCAGCGCTAGAGCTCTTGCCTCGCAGGCACAGGCCATGGGTTTGATCTCCAGCACCACAAAGAAAAATCAAATGTTGATTTCTTAGACTATTAATGAGATGAGATGGTTATTATATAATGTTACGTGGAAAAAAAACCCCTCACTATGCCATATCTGTTTTATAAAAATATCTACATATAAAGGAACTAAAAAACAATAAAATTGAACTCAAGACCTCACGTTAGGCAAGCGTTCTACCACTTGAGCCACAGCACCACTTCCAGCCTTTTCTGTTTATGTGGTGCTGAGGAATTGAACCCAAGGCCTCATGCATGCCAGGGAAGCACTTTACCACTGAGCCACCTTCCCAGCCCCATCAGCCTTTCTTATGTTTAATTTGAAGACAAAGGTCTTGCTTTATGCCCAGGCCAGCCTGGACAGTGCTCTTCCTATTTGTGCTTCCCGCTCTTCCCTGGGGATGACAGAGTGTGCCGCTGGGCCCTGCCATTGTGCTTCCCTTGTAGCTATGCTAGTAGGTGTGAGATTGAGTCTTGAGCACTTATGCTCAGGCTGGTCTTGAACAGTGATTATCCAATCTCTACTTCCCCAGTGGCTAGGATTATAGGCTTGAGCCACTATATCTGATGTTTAAGAAATGTTAGCAAATTTCTCATCTGGAAATTGTGGAAAGAAGCTCTGATATAAACACCTACGATATAGCCACTATGCTCCACCAAAACTCCTGCAAGTTGAGATGAGGGACGTGAGGTTGCTCCTGCAGGCCCCGCTGGGCTGAGTTACCTGGGTCAGGGGCGTGCCCAGAGCTCGCAAGGCTCCCACGTGATCCCCAAAGAGGGAGAGGCGCAAGGTGACACTGAACCGGCGCTGCAGAGGAAGGAGGACCAGAGCTCCAAACAGGTGGTCCCCAAAAGACACGGATTCAAAATGGTCCAGGAAGCTGGCGTAGAGGTCGGGGAAAGACGTCAGACCAGGAAGCGGGCAGTCCAGGTTGAGGCTCGGCAAGACTTGGGGCCGACAGAGGCGAGCTAGAAGGGCTGCCACGAGACGCTGTACTGGGGTCTCTCGGAACAGCTCACTGTCCACCAGGAACAAGCACATGAGCCGTGCCAGGCGGGCAGCGGGAGGTACTGTGCATAAGGCCTCGGGACGCCAGCTGTCCAGAACGAGCACCCACTGCAGGACGCGCGTGGCTATGCCCACCGCGTCAGCCGGAGGGAGCCCCGAGGGAGTCTCTGAAGCCCTGTGGTAGAGATGAATCAAAGGCTGGAAGGGCCAGTCGGTGGGCAGCAACGACTCCGTAGGCACAGGCAGCAACAGGGCTGGGACTCGCTGCGTCTCTCCTCGGTGACGGGCCTGGGAGGCCAGCAGGCCGGCGCGGGGCGGAGAGCAGTGGGTCAGGTAGCAGCTGCGGATGCTGGGGAGGTCCTGGCAGGCCTGAATGAGGAGAGCCCCTCGCCCACACCGGGCATCCCCGCCGCTCCCCAGGGACAGTCCATCAGCCAGGTCAGCTGCCTCTGGCCCCCCTGCTGCACCTTCCCTGCAAGCAACAGAGACCAAAAGCCAAAGATGAGGGCGGGAAGCGCAGCACCCACAGGGCTGAGGTGCTCTCCTATGTGGAGTCACTGCCAAGGTCAAGTTCACTGCATTTCTCTGTGCTTGATCAACAGTACAGTATGTGTCTCGTGGCACAGGTAAAATGCTTCCAATATAGATGAATAAAACTGGAGGGAGGGGTTGGGAAGGTGGCTCAGTGGTAGAGTGCTTGCCTTGCATGCATGAGGCCCTGGGTTCGATTCGCTGGAAGTGGGGCTGAGGCTCAAGTAGTAGAGCGCTGGTCTACAGCTGGAGAGCTGTGGGACAGTGCCCAGGCCCAGAGTTCAGGCCCCACGACTGACCAAAAAAAAACTGGAGGGATGGCTCAGGTGGAAGAACACCAACCCAACAAATGCAAGTTCCAACCCTAGTCACCTAAGGGAATATCAGATACAGGATAGGCACTCAGTTCTATACCATGTTTTAGCAACATGGTGACACTGATGTCTCTTGGTCATTCTCTGGATGGTAGAAAAGTGGTCAAGTAAAACCATAAAATAAAAAGAATCAGACCCAGGCCTCAGCAGCAACCAAGTGGCTGAGTTGGCACCTGGACTGAGGACTTACGGGAGGAACTCCACCCGGAACACACAGCTCAGCAGAAGCTCCTGGGCGATGTACTCACTTCCAGGCAGCAGGCGGCTCAGCAGGGCCAAGGCCATGGCATGAAAGAGGGCCGCATTGGTGGCCGGTGGTGGCTGCAGCATTGCCTGTGGAGGAAAGGCAGGGAATTGGTTGGTGTGGAAAGGACAGTGTGGAGGGACCAGAGCAGCATGGACAGGACGAGGATGTGGGCCAGGCTGAAGGCACAGACCAGAGGAGCAGTGTGGGGTAACACAGTGTGGGCTGAACGTGCAGACAGGCGACCCACCGCTCTCTGGGCCAGGGAAATGGCCAGGTACTGCAGGTGATGCTCATGGCGGAAGGCCCAGGCAGAGAAGGGTGTGGGGTGGGGGGCAGCGCCAGGAGCCACACACTGGAGGAAGTAGCTCTGGAGTCCGGGGGCAGCCAATACAGATGCCAGCTATGGAAAAGCAAGTCTTTCAGATCTGGAAATCGCTTGCAATGTCTTCTGGAGCTTCCAGGTGGCTGTCTTCCCCACACACACTCAGAAACGTGGGCGTTGACAGAAGAGGCCTCCCCTCTCTTGCCCCTGCCCTGTTTTTCCCCGATTCCAGCCATCTTGGCTGGCTTCCTGGCCCCTAGCCAGGCACCCAGGGATTACCTGGCCACATAGTCCCTTGTGGGTCCGGGCCAAGGTGTTGGCGAGATGGAGGAGGGCAGTGAGGAATGGGAAGGGGGAGGCTGACCCAGCCAGACTGCGTGGGGGACAGCCTCCGGGGCAGCCCAGCGCCACGAGGCTGGAGAGAACTTCGGCAGCGGGAGCACAGGACAGTGGGTTGCAGACAGGAGAGCAGTGCCTGCAGGCAGGGTGGAGAAGATGGAGAGGTTGGCCGGAGGGGCTTCTGGCCTGACGGCAGCCAGAGTGGAAAAGACCAGTGAGGCCTGGCTGTGCAGATTGGTCCCAGGTGCCTCAGTGCCTTTAAGGGATCGACCGGCGAGCCAACGCCAGGGACCACAGGAGACAGTGGCGTCCCCCCTGCAGCCGCAATGTGGAACATACCTGACGGAGTCCCACAGGCTGTCCAGGGTGGGCTGACTCAGCAGTGGCAGCAACAGCTCCTGGGACAGGCGCTCCATGTCCTGAAGCCAATCCTCGGGGCACAAGTTTGGCTGGAGGATGGAGGGGATGGCTGAGCCCTGTATGCCTCAGCGTAGCGTCCCAAGAGCCCAAAGAACAGTTAGAATTCTGCAGCCTGACCCTTCTGAAGGAGAGGAGGCTGAGTTCTCTGGTGCACAAGGTTTAGGGTAGAGAGCAGAAAGGCTTAGCACTGCTTGTCTCTGGCTCCCCTAAGGGGAAGGGGAGTTAAAAGGTAGAGGGTGGGGCTGGGAAGGTGGCTCAGTGGTAGAGCACTTGCCTTGCATGCCTGAGGCCCTGGGTTCGATTCCTCAGCACCACATAAGCAGAAAGAAAAAAGCCGGAAGTGGCGCTGTGGCTCAAGTGGTAGAGCGCTAGCCTTGAGCTGAAGAGCTAAGGGACAGCGCCCAGGCCCAGAGTTCAGGCCCCACAACCGGACCCCCCCAAAAAAAAACAAAAAGGTAGAGGGTAGAGTTCAGGGTGTAACTCAAACGTGGAGCATTTGCCTAGCATGTAAGGTCACGAGTTCCATCCCCAGCAACACAGGCAGTCAGCTAGACATATGGGCACACAGTGCAGGATAGGAAAAGGTGGGAACGCGGGGGTCAGGATGGGCTGCAGGATGCGCACGCACGCAGCACTCACTTGCTGGCTCCAGGCCTGGTAGTAGGCACTCAGGAACAGCAGGCAGGCGGTGGGCACCGGGCCCAGGGCACTCCACCTATCAGGCGTGGGCAGCAGTTTCAAGGTCTGTCTTAGACATGGCTCCACGAGAGGCTGGAGTCCAGATACCTGCGTCCACGTGATGGAGGAAGCGGCGGCTGGCTCATGGGCATCGGCGGAGTCCCTGAGGGAGTGCCAGGAGGGCCACAGTGAGGGTGCAGCTGGCGCTCCCTCCCTGTGCAGGAGAAGTGCTGCCTGCCTGGCTTCCCAGAACATTCTTCTGGCAGGCTCAGGGCTGGCCTACCTGGTGGGCTCAGAGTGGGTGCCGCTGGCTGCTAGAGTGAGCTGGGTGAGGAGGGTGAGCAGCGAGGCCGCCCGGTGCACGGGCAGGGATGGCAGGGGGTGGATGCTGAGCTCCAGCGGCACAGCCTGCAAGGCCCTCATGAGCACCGGGTACAACTCCCTGAGAAAGAGCGAAGATGCCGTCACTGTAGGGAGGGAGCCGAGGATGCAGGGAACAGGGCAATGGCTGCCTGGGCTGTGCAGTCTGGTGAGGAGGCTCGGGCGGGGAGGCCCCAGGCTGGGCACTCTTGGAGAGGTAGCCCTTCAAAGCCGGGACTCTCCATCGGACCTCACCAAGACCCCAGCGCACAGAACGGGCTTACCCTAGGTTTGTCCCCCAGTCTCCCAGCTAGTCCTTCCTCTAGGGGTACAGTAAGGAGAAGCCCCTCTTCCTCTTTCTTGGCCTCTCTCCCAGCTTGGAGCCTTGAGCACAGCTTTAGTGTCAGGTTAGGTCAAGTGCAGAAGCGGAGAGGTGTACAGGGGGCCACCCCTGCCTCCTCTCCACACCTGTAAAGGTCACCACCGTGGCCGTAGGAGGCAGCCACAGCCCACAGGCGATAGGCCTCCGTGCTCAGCATCTCAGCTTCCTCGGGGGGCAAGGCCAGTTCTTGAGGAGCTTCTGCTATGAAGCGGCACAGGCGGCTCCGGAGATCAAAGCTGCTCAACTGGAAGAGAGTGGAGTGGAAGTTGTGGGGATTGGGGTCAGCTGGGAGTCACATCCTGCTAGTGTCAGGCTCTGTCACTGCGCAAAGGGACTCAACTCTGCCCCTGCAGAGGCCTCTGCACTACCAAGGGGTCACAGCTCTGAGTAGGGGTGAAAGTACCCCATCCCTGTCCTTCCCTCTTTTTTGCTGGGTCCTACTGTCTGTGTGGCTACAGGTAAGAACACCTGCCTACATGTGCTTCCTCTGGGTCTGAGTTGGGCCAGGGAGCCGTCCACATCCCGAGACTGGAATAGGCCTATAGGATGCACAGGGCTCTGATGACGAGGTTCCTGGGTAGTGCTTTCTGTAGAAATTCTTTTTTTTTTTTTTTTTCCTGTCAGTCCTGGGGCTTGAACACAGAGCCTGGGTGCTGTCCCTGAGCTTCTTTTGCTCAAGGCTAGTGCTCTACCACTTGAGCCACAGCACCACTTCCAGTTTTGATTTTTGTTTTTTAATAATTTATTGGCCATAAGAGTCTCATGAACCTTCCTGCCCAGGCTGGCTTTGAAGAGTGATCCTCAGATCTTAGCCTCCAGAGTAGCTAGTATTACAGGTGTAAGGCACTGGCACCTGGCTTTCTGTGGAAATTCTAAGCAACTAGGCCAGAGAGGAAGAGGATGAGGTGGCCACTCAGAGCTCAGGGGTCATGATTAGCTCCCGATCCAGCCCCACCCAGTCCTATCTCCCACCTCCATCCCTTGCTGTGTCTGCTCACCAGCCGGGCAGCAATATTCCTACCAGCCGAGGCCAAGACTCTAAGTAGTTTCATGGCAGCAGCACAGGGTACTCTGTGTAGACTGGAGGTGGGCCCCGCCACTACAGGGGACCAGCTGGTAGGCAGGAACTCTCGAATTATGGTTTCTATCAGCCGAGGGCACTCCAGGACCTGTGGGAGATAGAAGGACAATGGAGGAAGAAGGATCAAGACAAGCGCAGTGAGGCTCTCTGCCGTGTGATGACCTCCCGCTCCTCCTCACCCTCGTGGCAGACTCCAGGGAATGGCGGGCCAGGCGAATGAGCACAGCCAGGATGTCAAGGACCACAGAGGGCCCTGGGCAGGTCACCTCTAGCACATAGCGCAGCCGAGGCAGCAAGTTGGTAGCCAGGAGGCCCTGGGGGCAGAGAGAAATCCTCTGCCAAATGTGGCAGAGCCCTGGGCTTTGATGACCCCTCCTGCCCAACACCCTTGACCTCTGTCAGATGGGAAAGCTTCCTCTACCTTGATGACGTCATGTCGGGCCAGGTCAGGCGGAGGTCGGGTTCCCTCCTCGGGGCTCTTCGGTTTTGCCTTTTCTGTTGCGGGCTCTTCATCCTCGCCATCCTCCTCCTTGTCCTCCTGGCTGGGCATGAGGGGGAACACCGAAGTTCCGTGATACCAAGAGAAGGTGCTGTCCAGGAGCTCCTGCCAGAGGATAGGGCCAAGAAGGGGAGAGGAAGAAAGGCAGGGAACAGTGAGAGCCCCCCACAAAAAGCAGAGCAGCAGGCTTCTGGGCTTTAGGGCCTTTAAGAGAGCAGGGTGGTGTCTGCCACCTAGTTCTCCATGCTTCCTACAAAGTCCTCTTAGCAGAGCATGAGGAGCAAAGACCTGACGCCTCACCCCCGTCCTATCCCGCAGTACCTCATCTCCGGGAGCCACCAGCAGAGCCCGAAGAGCCCGGATGGCAGCTGCGATAACTCCATCCACTCTGTCATCCAAGGAGAAACGCAGCAGGAAGAGGAAGCCAGCATCCAAAAGCAGCCGTAAGACACTGCCCACCAGCTGGTCCCCAAACTCGCCAGCCTGGGCCTTGGGTGCAGAAGGATAATTGCTGAAGATGCTGATACCTGTTGCCTGTGACCCTGCATTTGCCCCACTCCCAGTGTGCCCCACAGTGGGAAGGGTAAGAGATGGGGAAGTCTAATGTCAAAAGACCAGGTTTGGGGCTGGGAATGTGGCTCAGTGGTAGAGTACTTGCCCAGCATGCATGAAGCCCTGGGTTCGATTCCTTAGTACCACATAAACAGAAAAAGCCGGAAGTGGCGCTGTGGCTTAAATGGTAGAGTGCTAGCCTTGAGCACAGAGAGGCTCAAGGACAGTGCCCAGGCCCTTAGTTCAAGCTCCAGGTTTTGGGGGTGAGGGGGAGAGTGACGGGGACAGGAGAGGCAGGAAGAGTCCACTTACCCTGCCAATGACCTGGGACAACACATGCAGGGCAAGCGCTCTCTGTTGGGACACCTGGCTTCGGGTCAGGTGGAACAGCTCCTGTAAGGAGTACCCTGCTCTCTGGGGCAGGGGTAAGGCATCAGAGGGAACCATGATACAAGGCAGTACCCACAAAACACCCGGCTAGGTGCCAGGAGACAGAATGTAATCAAACTCCCTGCCTCTGCTCCACGGAGCCTCGAGCTGGTGAGGAAAATGGGACATGCATAAAGTAACGGTGGCGTAAGGCAGATGGGGGATGAATGCGGTGGTGGAGAATTCACTGGCAGGTGGAGTAACGGCACGGGAGTGCACAGGGAGTGTGCGGCATGAGCTGGCCGAGTGGCAGAGCAGCAGGCTAGAGGGAGGCGGTCACAGTCCGTGTACGGACTGTCCTCTTGCTGAGGAGCCAGAGGAGTTCGGTACAGCAGCCCAGGAGGGATGGAATGGCCCGGGGAAGAACCTAGAGGGCCTGAAAAGTGAGTGCCCACCAGGAGGAAAAGCCAACCTCCAGTAAGCATCATGGGGAGGTAACAGAAGTGGACCAGCAAGTTCTAGAACTGACCAGAATGTGAGCAGGGCAGGAATATCATTTTGAGCCTAAGAAATGGAATGAACTGGAACAAGGCACACAAGAAGTCAAAGGCAACTGACTGATCAGAGGCCCTTGTCCACGTAGTCACTGAAGGCACCTACCAAGAGCCGCTGAGTCCCCCCTGGGTCCTAGGCCTCACCTCCGCCTCCTCTCCATGGTGGTGCAGCCCCAGATGCGTGGGCAGGTCCACGTCAGGGGCCAGGAGCTCGCCCTGAAGACTAAATCGGGCCTGCATTCTCTGGTGGGAAGAGAAAGAAGACGAGGTTTAGGCAGCAGCAACTATCCTGTCCAGGTTGCTGTCTGGAAATGGAGCTTTTCTGGCCTTAGGGCGTGAAGAGCGCTGGGAGAGGAGAGTGAGTGTGAAGGAGAGCTGTTTCTCAGGCTCACGTGGCGAGAAGGGGAGAAGGGGCCTGAGTTCTGGAGACAGGAGCAGCGGGCCCCCACCTGTCTCACCCACCCTGGCTAGGCAGCTTGCCCTGCTCACCTCCTGGGTCTGCTGCCGCCGGAGTGGGGGCAGATCCTGGGTCCAGTGGAGCTTCTCCAGCTCCACAGCGTCCATGTGGAGCCATTCTTTATGGGGGGTCATGGGCAGGGCCACATCTGGGAAGACGGAAGCATGACAGGATTCCCTAAGCTCGCCTCACTCATCCACAGGGGTCCCAGACAACAGAAAGCAGCACCGCATCGCCACCCGCCCTCAGTTTTGGCTAAATAGTATGGCTGGAGTGAAACTCCTAGGAACTGGGTGAAGGTCCCAGCTAGGACAAAGACCCAATCCTAACTCTGATGAGGGGGAAGAGTGGAGAGGATAAAGACGAAGAAAGAGGAAGGGACCAGGCGGCAGGGCTACATCTGCCATGGAAAGCGTAGATGTCCACTCTCAAGTGCCAGCCCTGCGAAGGAGCACTGGCGTGGGGACAACCAGGACAGGGCGGCTCCAGGGGGAGTTAGATACAGAAACCACCCCAACAACATCCTCCTGCCGCTTCCCTCGTACCCCCTCAACCTGCCTGACCTGCCTGCCCAGTGCTCCTCAGGGAGCAGGAGGTTCATGGCTGAGATAATTCAATTTCTTTCTGTTGTTAATCCCTAATAGAATAATTTAGTTTCTGGACAATGAGTGCTTCCATTGGCCTCTGCCTTGGGTCTGGCAGGTCCACAGACCTTCATCAGACTCTCCCCTCCCGACACCCCTGCCCTTCCATTTCCCCCAGCACTGACAAAAGGAGAAAGCATGGCCGGATGGACAGAGCCAGAGCTGGGCAGCTCTGTCCAGGGAGGAGCAGGTGGCCGCTACATGCTGTTCTTACTAGGGAAGGAGAGAAGGAGCAGCCACAGGACAAGAAAACAGGAAGCGTGTGCAGGAAGAAGACGCGCATCAGCAAATGAATCCTGATTTGAGCCAATTTAAAGGCACTAATGAGGATTAACATTCTAATTCCAAGGGCAGAGATGCTTCTTTCTTCCCATCCACCCAGCCCAGGAGAAGGTCATTCATTTCTCTATTTTTATCCACACCAAAGATGGGCCCTCTCCTCCGAACCTGGGGCCCCTGGCTCCAGCTTCTCTTCCTTCCTGGGTTCATTGGCAAGGGCCGATATCATGGGCTCCTCTTCAGAGACATCAATCAACAGTCCTCCTGGCTTCTGCTCCTTGGTGGCTTTTTCTCCTGCTTGCTCATGGGTACGGCCACAGGATCTCAGGAAGGCAACCAAGCTAGGGTCTACAGACATAGGAGGAGGTAGAGTGAGTGAGGGCAGACACACCCCAGTTCCTACACTGCTTTTAGCTGCCTGCTTCTGGGTGCCAAAGACAAGATAAGCTGTGTCACCTCTGGCCTCAGCCCCCTGCACTCTCCTGTAGCCCTTCAATGACCCTGCCCTCTCACCTTTAAGGCCTCTAGGGCCTGACCACCCCCTTTTCCTCTGTGTTTCACAATCCTGGCCAAGGTTCTTATGCTTGACTTGACCTTGAGCTTGGTACCAGGTCAGAGGTCCACGGTACGAGTATGTGGAATAAACATGAATGCTAGCTAAGACCACAGAGAGGCATTTAGTAGAAAGTGCCCTCACCTCTCACCCAGCTTATGCATAGTTTATTAAAAAATTTAATATGCTTTTCCAGGTGCTACTGGCTTCTACTTGTAATCCTAACTAACTGAGAAGGCTAAGATGGAAAGATTGAGATTTGAAGTCTATGACTTTTTTTTTTGTCAGATGTGGGGCTTGAACTCAGGGCCTGGGTGCTGTCCTTGGCCTCTTTGTGCTCAAGGCTAATGCTCTACCACTTGAGTCATAGCGCTACTTCCTGGCTTTTTCTGAGTAGTTTATTAGAGATAAAGAGTCTCACGGGGACTTTTCTGCCCAGGCTGGCTTTCAACTGCAATCCTCAGATCTCAGCCCCCTGAGTAGCTAGGATTACAGGCTGGAGTTACCAGTGCCTGGCTGTGATTCTTATCTCTAACTACCAAAAAGCCAGAAGTGGAGCTGTGGCTCAAGGGGCAGGGTACCAGCCTTGAACAAAAAAGCTAAGAGATTGTGTGAGGCTTTAGTTCAAGTCCCAGGACTGGGACAGATCAAACCAGAAAAACCCAGCAGAATGTCTGGCATGAACAAATACAGCCCTCCCCAGCCCAGCCTGGCAGGAAATCCTGGCCCCTTACCAAGCTGAGCTAGGAGCTGCTGCTGCTCCTGCAGGATCTCGCCAGGAGTCATGGCTTGCAGTCTTGCTACATTCTCTTCATGGATGGTCTGAGCTTCTTGCTCGGCTTCCTGGCTGAGGCCCTTCCCTGTGACCACATGGGGTCTCTGGAAGTTGTGGTTGTTCCCTGGCCGCTGGCCACCCTGGTCTCTGGGGCTGGGTGCCTCACAGGTCACCACATCTGGAAGAAATAGATGATCAGTGCCATTGCCTTGACTTCCTGACTCCACTGGGCTTTCTTCTTCTGTAAATCTATTAGCCCAAAGCCCCAGAACCTGCCGAGTATAGAGCTGGGACCCCACTGGGTCTTGCACAGGACTCCAGGCACTCTGGGAAAGGTGCTGCAGCTATTCACTCACTCTTCCCCTAAGACTCTCATGAAAAGATGTCCTCCCTCCCGTCCTCCCTCCCTCCCGTCCTCCCTCCCTCCCGTCCTCCCTCCCTCCCGTCCTTCCTTTTCTTTGT